ATCAGTATTTATCATAAACATAACAGTGCTTATTGGTACAAAATCAGTATTTATCATCAACATAACAGCACTTATTGGTACAAGATCAGTATTTATCATCAACATAACAGCACTTATTGTTACAAGATCAGTATTTATCATAAACATAACAGCGCTTATTTCTACAAGATCAGTATTTATCATCAACATAACAGCGCTTATTGGTACAAAATCAGTATTTATCATAAACATAACAGCGCTTATTGGTCCAAGATCAGTATTTATCATAAACAACAGTTTTTATAGGTACAAGATCAGTATTTATCATAAACATAACAGCACTTATTGGTACAACAACAGCGTTTATCATCAACACGACATCGTTTATTGGTACAACAACAGCGTTTATCATAAATACAACAGCGTTTTTGGTACAACAACAGCGTTTATCTTCAACATAACAGCGTTTATTGGTACAAGATCAGCGTTTATTGGTACAACAGCAGCGTTTATCATAAACATAACATCGTTTATTGGTACAACAACAGCGTTTATCATAAATACAACAGCGTTTTTGGTACAACAACAGCGTTTATCATCAACATAACAGCGTTTATTGGTACAAGATCAGCGTTTATTGGTACAACAACAGCGTTTATCATCAACATAACATCGTTTATTGGTACAACAACAGCGTTTATCATAAACATAACAGTCCTTATTGGTCCAAGATCAGTATTTATCATAAACAACAGTTTTTATAGGTACGAGATCAGTATTTATCATAAACATAACAGCGTTTATTGGTACAAAATCAGTATTTATCATAAACATAACAGCGCTTATTGGTACAAGATCAGTATTTATCATAAACATAACAGTGCTTATTGGTACAAGATCAGTATTTATCATAAACATGACAGTGCTTATTGGTACAAATTCAGTATTTATCATAAACATAACAGTCCTTATTGGTCCAAGATCAGTATTTATCATAAACAACAGTTTTTATAGGTACGAGATCAGTATTTATCATAAACATAACAGCATTTATTGGTACAAAATCAGTATTTATCATAAACATAACAGTGCTTATTGGTACAAAATCAGTATTTATCATAAACATAACAGCACTTATTGGTACAACAACAGCGTTTATCATAAATATAACAGCGTTTTTGGTACAACAACAGCGTTTATCATAAATACAACAACGTTTTTGGTACAACAACAGCGTTTATCATCAACATAACATCGTTTATTGGTACAACAACAGCGTTTATCATAAACATAACAGTCCTTATTGGTCCAAGATCAGTATTTATCATAAACAACAGTTTTTATAGGTACGAGATCAGTATTTATCATAAACATAACAGCGTTTATTGGTACAAAATCAGTATTTATCATAAACATAACAGTGCTTATTGGTACAAAATCAGTATTTATCATCAACATAACAGCACTTATTGGTACAAGATCAGTATTTATCATCAACATAACAGTGCTTATTGGTACAAGATCAGTATTTATCATAAACATAACAGTGCTTATTGGTACAAGATCAGTATTTATCATAAACATAACAGTGCTTATTGGTACAAAATCAGTATTTATCATCAACATAACAGCACTTATTGGTACAAGATCAGTATTTATCATCAACATAACAGTGCTTATTGGTACAAAATCAGTATTTATCATAAACATAACAGCACTTATTGGTCCAAGATCAGTATTTATCATAAACATAACAGCGTTAATTGGTACAACAACAGCGTTTATTGGTACAACAACAGCGTTTATCATAAACACAACAGCGTTTATGGGTACAACTACAACGCTTATCATAAACATAACAGCGTTAATTGGTACAACAACAGCGTTTATCATAAACACAACATCGTTTATTGGTACAGCAACAGCGTTAATCATAAACACAACAGCGTTTATTGGTACAACAGCAGCGTTTAGCATAAACACAACATCGTTTATCGGTACAACAGCAGCGTTTATCATAAACACAACATCGTTTATTGGTACAACTGCAGCATTTATCATAAACACAACATTGTTTATTGGTACAACAGCAGCGTTTAGCATATACACAACAGCGTTTATCGGTGCACTCATACAACATAAGCGTTTATTTGTTAAACATTAGCGTTTATTTGTACAATGTAAGCGTTTATTGGTTCAAGAGCAAAACTGCCTGTTAAACCAATACAGACTATTTTGAACCACAGAATCCGCAATAATCTGGTACATTAACGGTACGATAGTTCTCACAGTGAGACATTAACGGTACGATAGCTCTCACAGTGGGACATTAACGGTACGATAACTCTCACAGTGGGACATTAACGGTACGATAGCTCTCACAGTGGGACATTAACGGCACGATAGCTCTCACAGTGGGACATTAACGGTACGACAGCTCTCACAGTGGGACATTAACGGTACGATAGCTCTCACCGTGTAGACATTAACGGTACGATAGCTCTCACAGTGGGACATTAACGGTACGATAAGTCTCACAGTGGGACATTAACGGGACGATAACTCTCACAGAGGGACATTAACGGTACGATAGCTCTCACAGGGGGACATTAACGGTACGATAACTATCACAGTGAGACATTAACGGTACGATAGCTCTCACAGTGGGACATTAACGTTACGATAGCTCTCACAGTGGGACATTAACGGTACGATAGCTCTCACAGTGGGACATTAACGGTACGATA